GTCGAGAGAGAGAGAGAGAGAGAGAGAGAGAGAGAGGGGGGTGCTGGGTTGGCAATAGGTGTATCGATAGATAGATCAATAATAACAGGAAGTGCGGTGCTGGATAACTGCGTGTTTGTCAATGACTGCTGTGTTGGTTCTTCCGACGAAACAGTGATGTGACAACAGTGACAACAATAAATGTGGTGCTGGGTTGCTGAAGCGGGGGAAAATGAGGCACAAGAAAGGAGACGAGGGACAAGCCAACACGGCACAACCACGCACACTTGCTTGCTGGCTATTGGCTGTTGGCTGTTGTTACACAGCAGTATGCGCAGAGACGTGCTGCACTGACGGCAGCCACCACTGTTTGTCGTGTGTTACCGAAGTGCTGAATATTGTATGAAGATGTTGATTGATTTTCGTTTCCTGTGGTTTTTGTGGGGCGGAAGCAGCAAGCAAGCAAGCAAGACAGCAAGCAAGCAAGACAGCAGCCGCTGTGAAATCGAGGTGTGAGTGCGTTGGACGTTGGAGTGAGTGGATGCGTCGATACGTGGATGTGTGTGTGTGTGTGTGTGTGGACGTGTGTGTGCGTGTGAGTGGGTTGTGAAGGAGGAAGGGGAAGCATGATCGATTGCCAACCGTGCTCATTTGCTTTGGCTGTCTGTGCCTTGGCGTCACATCCGCACACAATTGTGCACATTCTCTCACGCATTTGCACACACACACACACATACACACACATACACACTTGCACATGCACACGCACGCTCACATTCCACATTCTACGCCGCTTGGTTGCTTGTGCGTGTCCGTGAACAACACTCACTGACAACACACACACACACATACATACAACCCATAACCAACGCAGCGACGCGGCAGAAGGAAGTGAGAGAGAGTTTGTGTGTGAAGGAGACGTACACAATCCATCATGTCATTCCCACCACCACACGCGCCACCGCCGACGGGATTCCCGCCTCAGCCAGCCCAGTCACAACCGACGACCACAACAGCAGCGGCACCACCGCTCCAGCCGCCTCCGCTCTCTGGGACCCTTGCTCCCCCACCGCTCCAGCCCCCACCTCTCGGCAACAGCTACAGCGGCGGCAACAGCTACAAGATGCCTCCCACCACCAGCACATCACAGCCGCGTCCGCCGGCAACGAATGGCGGCCTCTCAGCGCCACCCACGTTCAGCACAAGCGCGGGAAGCAACGGCTACAGCGCACCTCCCACCATGCCACCTCCCACACTTGCTTCTGCATCGCAACCACCGCGAATGGCACAGCCACCTCCGCCAATGTCGCAACCACCATCCATGTCGCAACCCCCACCCATGTCTCAGCCTCCGCCAATGTCGCAGCCTCCAACCATGTCGCAGCCTCCAACCATGTCACAGCCTCCAACCATGTCACAGCCTCCAACCATGTCTCAACCTCCAACCATGTCTCAACCCCCACCGCTGTCTCAACCCCCACCGCTGTCTCAACCCCCACCGCTGTCACAGCCACCACCCATGTCTCAACCTCCACCCATGTCACAACCGCCCACGGCGACGACAACAGCAACAGCAACAGCAACCGCATCCATGATGCCACCGCCGCTGCATGTACAGCCACCCGTCTTCCACCCGCCGCCAATGTCGCACTCAGCAACAGCGGCACCAACGACAGCAGCACCACCGCCGCCACCACCAACAACGGCGCCCGCGCCCCAGCCTGGTGCCGCCGCCTTCACGCAGCAGCCACCAACAAGCCAGCCGCCAAGCGTGCAGACGTCGTTGCCGCCGCCGCCGCTGTTCTCGGCCCAGCCAGACCCGGGTGCACAAGGCCCTGCCCGCCGCATGTCCGCATCCACAGGCGCGCACCCCGTCATGAACCAGACTGCGCCCACGCGTGCAGACGCGCCGACAAACATCCTGGGGCAGCGCAACATACTGCCGGCAGCACCCGCGCGGCCGCCACGTGCGCAGCCGCTGTCTGACTCGCAGCGGCGGGCCAACTGCGACCCGAAGTTCATGCGGGCGACGATCAACGCCATGCCGGAGACATCGTCGCTGCTCTCGCAGTGCCGCCTCCCACTCGCCCTCCACCTCAACCCCTTTGGCGAGGTGCGCTGTGCATGTGGCGTGGTGTGTGTATTGTGTGTATGTATTGTGCGTGTATGTGTGTGTTGCGTGTGTATGTATTGTGTGTATGCTGCATGTTGTGTATGTACACGTGTGTGAGTATATGTGGTACCACGTAACGCGTGCGTTGACAAAAAGCTTACCACCCTGCCACTGTCCACTCGTTTGTCGACTGCTCTGCAGGATGTGCCGGTGATGAGTGGTCTCCCCATTGTCCGCTGCCGCAGCTGCCGCACGTACATCAACCCGTTCATCTCCTTCATCGGCCAAGGTCTTGTCTGGTTGCCGTGTGAATTGCACCGCCACGATTCGTGTCGAGTGCGTGTGTGTGTGTGTGTGTGTGCGCGCGCGTGTGTGTGCGTGTGTGTGTGTGTGCGCGTGTGTGCGTGTGTGTGTACATGTTATTGTCCTTCTGTTTGCTGTTACATCCAACCAATGCAACTCATGCAACCACGCGCTCATGCAACCATCCATCCATCCAACCATCCATCTTTGCCTCGGCAGGTGCGCGGTGGCGCTGCAACCTGTGCCAATATGTCAACGACATTCCCCAGGACTTTTTCTACGACCGCGTCAAGGGTGAGGCATGGAGTGGCGATTGTGTGCATGTGTTTGCTCGTTCGTTTGTTTGTGTGCGATCAACCCGCATGCTTTGTTTTGTGTTGCTGCGTGCGCTGGGTGTATGCAGCAAGGGCCAAACAACCCACCCTTTACCATCACACACATACACACACACGCGCGCGCGCACACACCACGCACACGCTTTTCTTCACATTGTCTCACGTGCATGCGCTGCTGTGCGCCAATGCGAGCAGGAGAGCTCGTCGACCGAGCGGGACGGCCCGATCTCAACACGGCCTCTGTCGAGTACATTGCGCCGTCAGACTACATGGTGCGCTCTCAGTGGTGGCGCACATGCGGCTGATTGTCGTAGAGGCTGGTGTGACCGAGCTGCGTGTTGCTGGCATGTGTGTATGTGTGTGTGTGTGTGTTTGTGTGTGTGTGTGTGTGTGTGTGTGTGTGTGTGTGTGTGTGTGTGTGTGTGTGTGTGTGTGTGTGTGTGCGTGCGTCCTCATGTGGGTGATCGCCACCGACCTTTACACAAACTCAACGCATCTCCCGCCTTTGTCCCCATTGTTGACTCCCACTTCCACCCGTCCATTCATCCATATGTCCATGCACACACGCCCTTACCCTTCCCCAACACTGCTTCTTCTCAAACCACCACCACCGCCACCACCACCACTACCACCAGGTGCGGCCGCCCCAGCCGTGCGTGTTTGCGTTCTGCATCGACGTGTCGTCGCCTGCGGTGGTGTCTGGGATGGTGGCGGCGGTGTGCAAGGCGCTGCTGGAGAACCTGGACCGCCTGACTGGCGATGAGCGCACGCGTGTCGCCATCATCACCTTTGACAACACCGTCCACTTTTACAACCTCAACGTCAGTTGCCCCATTGCTGCTGCCTCGAATGAGCTGCACTTTGCTTGTGTGCTGTGTGTGTGTGGTGTGCTGTGTGTGTGTGTGTGTTGTGAACACCTTCTCTCCAACCATCGTCTTCGCTTGAGGCGCACTATTCACAATACCACCATCATCACCATCACCATCATTATCACCCATCACCACTTCATCGCCACCGTGTTGCCTGCTGCAGGAGAAGTTGGCGCAGCCGCAGAAGCTCGTGATGACGGACATTGACGACCCATTCCTGCCGTATTCCATGGAAGACCTCCTTGTCTCCCTCAACGACTCAAAGGAGGTGCGCGGTGGTCATCGTGGTGCTGTAACCTGCGGTGGCGTGGCGTGGTTGTTGTGGCTGTTGTGGGTTGTTGTTGCAACTGCAGTTTGCTTTCTTTTACAACATTGGCGCAACCCACATCACTTCACACGACACCGCAAGCGCATGTGTCTCTCACCAATCACCAATTATCAATCACCAATCACCAATCACCAACCCCTCCCCGAAACCCCTTGCAGCTTGTCAAGTCGCTGCTTGAGTCCATCCCGGACATGCACGCGCGTCCGCTGTCGAGCGACACGTGCACGGGCGCCGTCCTCAAGGCCGCCCGTCTCCTCATGGGCGGAATCGGCGGCCGCATCTCCGTCTTCCAGGTGCACACACGTGTTTGTTTGTTTGTTTGTTTTGTTTTGTTTGTTTGTTTTTTTTTGTTCGGTTGGTTGGTTTCTTTTGTTTGTTTGTTTGTTTGTTTGTTTGTTTTTTTGTTCGTTTGGTTGCTTGTTTTGTTTGTTTGGTTGGTTATGTTTTTTTGTTTGTTTGTTTGTTTGTTTGACTGCACGGGTTGCACGACACCTGCAGTGGCGCAGTCAAGCATCTCTCTTTGCCTCACCTTCATGCCCACATCACCATGTCTACACTCCCTTGCACCAGACTGGCCGTCCCTCCATTGGGCCTGGCGCCATTCCCGACACGCAGCCGCCAAACCCAATGTACGACCCTCTCCCCCCCCCCCCAAAATACAAAACACGCCGCTGCATGCGTGCAAGCAAGCGAGCGGGTGTGCGATGTGGTGTCTCCCTTCACGTCGCAGTTTGCTGCACTCACCCTGCCATCACCACTTGTGCATGCCCTGTGTGTGTGTGTGTGTGTGTGTGTGTGTGTGTGTGTGTGTGTGTGTGTGTGTGTGTGTGTGTGTGTGTGTGTGTGTGTGTGTGCGTGCATGTGTGTGTGTGTGTGTTCTGTTACAGCGGGTCTTTGAAGGAGCGCGACGCCCTCAACTCAGCCACGGGATTTTACAAGGAGTTTGCGGTTCGTTACTGCTATTGGCGTACACTGTTCTCTTGTGTTCGTTTGCTTGCTTTGTCGCCAACGACATTGCTCCCCATGCACATACACATCTGTACAAGTGTACAAGGACGCACAGACACACATTAACCTTCACTCATTCTCATTGCCTCGCTCCCACACCTACTGCCATCTTTCCACCCACTACCCCCCTCTCTCTCTCTCTCTCTCTCTCTCTCTCTCTCTCTCTCTCTCTCTCTCTCTCTCTCTCTCTCTCTCTCTCTCTCTCTCTCTCTCTCTCTCTCTCTCTCTCTCTCTCTCTCTCTCTCTCTCTCTCTCTCTTTCTGACTGACCATTTGCTATGGAAGAGTCAGCCAGGATCAAGACCTCAAAGTACTTGTCGTATGTACTGCGGCATGGAGCACAAAAGGAAGGCGTGTCAATGGCCCCGGACGGCTCCGTGGCACTGGAGGACTTGCTGAGGAGGCCGCAGCTGAAAGGGCTCTCCTCCAAGGAGATCAAACACATCGTGGAAACATGCCCGAAGCAGCGGTTTGTCCTGCTTCCGGGCACGGGCCCGACGGGCCTTCGCATCCGCGCAGCACAAGGACACACCATCAAGGTGGCGGATGAGTCGCAGCTGCTCACGGCAATCACAGACGCCTCCAAGTTCCCCGTCGTCGTGCATGGCACGTATGCCAAGCTCGTGCCCGTGATCAAGCGCGAGGGCCTCAGCCGCATGCGACGCAGACACATCCACTTTGCCACGGGCCTGCCTGGGGATCAGGAGGTCAAGAGCGGCATGCGCAAGTCCTGCACCGCGTTTGTCTACATCGACCTTGCCAAGTGCCTACGTGACGGCATTCCCTTCTTCGTCAGCTCCAACAACGTCGTCCTTTCCCCTGGCCTTGGATCCACCGGCATCCTGCCGCCCCAGTACTTTACCAACGTTGTCATCAAAGACAAGAAGTCGTCGCAGTGATTACCGTGCGTGATGTGCGTGCTCTGTGTGTGTCAGTGTGCTGTGTGCTGTGTGTGCTCTGTGTGCTGTGTGTTGTGTGTGTGTGTGTGTGTGTGTGTGCGTGCGTGATATCGTGCGTTGTACACATTTACTTTGTATGTACAGCCTGTTACACCACTGCCACCATGATGGCCGTGTTTCCTTTCTTCTTTTCTTTGTACACACTCCTCGCACACTTTCTTGCAGACCCTTCCCCTGTGAACAGAACGGTTGGCTGCTTGCTTGCCATGCCTTCCTTGTCTTGTTTGCTCTCGTTGATTTGCACATATACATAAACATGAAACATGACGTGATGACCAGAACAAACAAAACCAAAATGCCAAAGAGCACGCCACCAGCCAGCGCATTTGCATTACATGCTTCCATCCATCCCTTCCTTCTTTGTTTCCGTGGTGGCGGCCATCTCCGCAGTTGTCCTCCCGCGCAGTATTCTCCATATTTTCCACCACCTTTCCACAATCCGAAGGTTGGCTTGTGTGTTTCTCCAACAGCCACCTCAGGACATCAGCACAGCAACCACCCCCTCGGACATCAGGACAGCAGGACACCGGGGCGTGTTTCACTGGCGTGTTGTCGCCCCCGCTGGCCAAGGACAATGTCATCGCGATTGCGGGTTGTGGCATTGCCCATGGCCGCGGCAATGCTGCTGTTCATGCTTGCCGTGGCGTCGAGTAGGAGTACGGTCGTGCACGCCACCTCCTCAACGACGTCAACCAGAACGTGTTGTGGCAGTAGTGGCAGTAGTGGCAGAGACCCACAGTGTCAGCAGCACGTGCACGCATGCATGAGCGCGCACACGACCCTGAAGCAGCTTCACTCCACGCGCATCAGTGATGCCGATGCAGACTTGAGCCTTTTCGCGGCCCTACAGCGCTCCCTCGACGTCCTCTGTGCTGGAACCTCAACATCGTTCACGGCAGGCGCCGAGACTTCTCCCGACAAACCATCTCCACCTTCAGAACCATCCCACTCGGCAACAACAACAACAACAACAACAACAACAACAACAACAACAACAACAACAACAACAACAACAACAACAACAACAACAACAACAACAACAACAACCACACACCCTCGGCAGCGTGTGGCACGCGCCGTTGATGATGTGCCCCTCGGTCGCACACTCAAGTGCCATGTGGCCCAGCTCCTCAACAACACCTGCGTGCCACCGCAAACGGAAGCCCCATACGACGCCCTCGTATTGGAGGCCTGGGAAGAAGGCTTGTTGGCAGCAGACACGATCGGCCCCAATGCACCGGTGAACATCGCATCAGCTATGTGCGCCATCCAACCTCACACCCTCGTCATCCAAGGACCCGTGCCGCTTCCAAAGTTGGCCGATATCCTCAGCAAGGTGGAACAGGCAGATGTTGACAGCACCACCTGCGACAGCAGCGATGCCGTTTGGTCGAGTGTGCAGACCCTCAGCATCCGCAACGTCTCATCCCCCTTCCTGTACCTCAACCAACTCAACCCGCTCAACTCCCTCACCGCCCTCGACATTGATGGCGGCAGCCTCGTCAGCATCGAGAGCACCGACACCAACACCAACACGGGCACCAACACGGACACCAACACCAACACGGATGCCGCCGCTGACGACGCAGCAGCACCCGCCTTCCACCGCGCAGCGCACCTGATTCGTTTCACCGTCATCAACACCCGCCTGCGCGAGATAGGCAGCGACCTCTTCCACGGCATGACGCAGCTGCATACCTTGAGCCTCCTCAACAACCAGCTCACCTCCCTCGCACAGACGGCATTTCAATCGCAAACACAGCTCAAGGTCCTCGACCTCGCATACAACCAACTCACAAACCTCCACAACCAGACATTTCATGCGCTCTCACAGTTGGAGTCGCTTGACCTCTTTGCCAACGACATGGTGGAGCTTGACCCCGGCCTTTTCCAGTCGCAGTCGGCGCTGCAGAACCTCTCCTTTGGCGGGTCCCCCATCAAATCCCTGCCCACCACTCTTTTCCACAACACCCACAGCCTCACCTTCCTCAACGTGACCTTCACTGCCTTGGAGGAGCTCCGCGACGAGCACTTTCGCTTCACCACCGCCCTGCAACAGCTTCTCCTTCGCCGCAACTTCCTGGCCTCCATTTCACTCACCCCGCTCACGCAACTGCAAGAGCTGATTGTTTCCCACAACAGGCTGAAGAAGTTCAAAGCGGACATGTTCCCTGAACACATGCCGCACCTGACAAGGCTCCTGGCCGTCGGCTGCGGCGCTGACACCTTCGACGCAGCAATCGTCAACCGCGCACCAGCTCTCGAAAACCTCAGCCTTCAGGACAACAAGCTTGAGGCCATCCCGCCTGTCAACAAGCACGAGGCCTTGCGTATCCTCGACCTGAGCAACAATGACATCAACACCATCGACCCCGACATCCTGCATGGCCTGTCCAGCCTCAGGCACTTCTCCGCCAGCTTCAACAACCTCAAGCACGTGCCCCGCCTCAACCTCACGCAGCTCAAGTCTCTCCGTCTGCATGACAACCGCATCACCGCCCTGCCAGATGTGACGGGCATGCCTGCGCTGCGCGAGCTGTACTTCCTCAACCACTTCGCCAAGGAGCTCGACCTGACCTCCCTGTTTCAGATGCCAGAACTTGAGCGACTGGAGATTGGCGCGTCCCCAGACCTGGAAGGCGGGTCCAGGCTCGTGGCGCCGAAGAATCCACACCAAGGGTTCATCACAGCGCCACTGCACACCATCATTGCCGAGAACGTGGACGTGCGCGTGCTGGGCACAGATTTCTTGCCCGACCTGAATCTTCATGCACTGCAGCTTGGCTGGGAGGGCATGGATGAGACGAACCTGCGCTTGGAGCACGTCTGCAAGGTTCTCCACCACACTGTCGCCTACTTTGGCCTCAAAGGCACCGCCTACAAGACCATGGACCTGTGCCCTGACCACGTCTTCAACTTTCTCATCTTGGACAACAACAAGCACCTCCAGACGTTGAGCGTGTACTCCGATGTACAGCACCTCAACGTCTCTGGCTGCACCAGCCTCACCACGCTTCGCGTGCCCAGCGCAAAGGTGCTCGACATCAGCGAGACGCGTGTGCCCCCGACCCGCGCCCTGTGCCGAGAGCTCGGCTCGCGCATGCTCGTGGCGCAGAAGTGGTTTGCCCCGAGAGATGCTGCCAAGAAAGCGCCACGCAACAGCAACAGCCACAGCAGCCGCGACCGTGACGGCAACGGGCCGTTTCAGCAGCTGATTCTGCGGTGCTTGACCTTCAGTGACGTGGGCGTGTTGGATCTGAGCAACAACGACTGGATCAACAGGCCACAGGACCTGGAGAAGACGTTCCTTGGGCCCATTCTGACCGGGACCGAGCCAGGGTTCACGCTTGACTTTATCCAGCTCGACTACCGCCGCACCATCCCCATCCTGCAGCTAACAGGCGCACCTGTGGAGTGTCAGCTGCACCTTGAGTCGAGGCGCGTGCGCATGGTTGGAAATGTGCACATGCAAGGCCGCAGGCTGGCGTACCGGTTTGAGTGCGGGTGTGCGACTGGATATTCAATGTCCTCAATGGAAGGCACGTGCTCGCGCAAGTCACAGGACGTGACGCTGGCTGTGCTGTTGACCGTGCTGGTTGCCGCGCTCGTGCAGGGCGCTGCGTTTCTCGTGTACCGGCAGCGGCAGTGGCGCCGTCGGCTGAAGGCGCACGATGACCTGAAGATGCAGCTGCTGTCGGAGAAGGATGCGGAGGTGCTGGAGCTGAAGGCTGCGCGTCAGATTGACATGCACGAGCTTGACCTGCTGCGGGTGATGGCCACGGGCGCGTGCGGAGAGGTGTGGGAGGCGACGTGGGACGCGGTGCGCGTGGCAGTGAAGATAGTGCGGCCGGGCTTGTTGGAGTTTGATGACTCGACCATGCGGGAACTGGAGAAGGAGGTGGAGTTTCTGCAGCGCACGCGCCACATCAACCTGGTGCGGTTCTTCGGCGCCGGTCGCGACATTGACACGGGCGCCCCGTTCCTGGTGCTGGAGTACGTTGCACTCGGCTCACTCCGCCAGATCCTGGAAGAGGGCAGCGTGCAGGACGTGCTGGCCAAGTATGGGCAGGCGCTGCCGTCTGTGGAGGATGACGATGCCAGCACTGCGCCGGCGAGTGGCCCCCTCGTCCCTGTTGCTGGCGCTGGCCTTGGTGTCAGTCGTGATGATGAGGATGAGGATGACGATGGTACGATGCTTGAGTCTGTGTTTGTTAGCAATGGCGTTGATGTGGATGCTGGCAGCAGTTACAACAAGTGTGCCGATGACTGGTCCACGGGCGACGTGTCGGAGCGCACATCCGTGTCGTCGTTGTCATCAGCAACATCGCAACTGCATGGGCGGCGGCGCACCGTGAATCGTGTGCGCGTGCAGACGGTCCACGGCCTGAAGAAGCGCTGGGCACAGGACGTGGCGTCCGGCATGGCCTTTATCCACAGCCTGGGACAGCTGCACAGGTGTGTTAATTTGTGAGTGGGGGTGTTTGCGATTTTGGGGGCTGGACGAGAACATGGGTGGTTTGCGGTATGTTACACTCTCCACCTCCTTTGTTTGAGTGTGTGTGTGTGTGTGGGGGGGGGGGGAGTTATGTTCACACGCATTCACACACTCACACATCTACACACACACACACACACCTGCATTCACACACTCACACACTCCCACACCTACACACGCACCCACACGCGCGCACACACCTGCATTCACACACTCACACGCGCGCACACCACAGGGATTTGAAGAGCGGAAACGTTCTCATTTCCACTGCGCTTCGTGCGAAGATCACGGATTTCGGCACCATCACGCAGCGCATCACTGCTGGCAAACCGCTGGCAAACACCGGCACCACCAGCAGCAGCGGCAGCAGAGGCAGCGGCAGTCGCAGCAGTGGTGACGGGCGCGCGCGAAACGCGTGGATGGACTCGGCGGGAGGGAGTGGCGGTGTTGTGGATGAGAACGAGCTGTGCTACACCAAGGAGATTGGCTGCACAACGCTGCAGCTGACGTCTGGTGTCGGCACGCCGCTGTACATGGCGCCCGAGGTGCTGCAGTACCACAGCTACGACGGCAAGGCGGACGTGTTCAGTTACGGTGTGCTGTTGTGGGAGATTGAGATGGAGCGCACGCCAGACATCATTGAGCAGGAGCTTGGCAGTGACTTTTCGGGCCCCATGATGGGTGCCCTCTCATCAATCCTCAAAGCGGGCAAGCGGCTCAAGTTCCCAAAGCGCAGCACCGCAGGTATGTATGTTGTGACCGTTTTATTTTCGTTGTGGTTTGGGTTTGGTTTGCTTGCTTGTGCGTGCCTGCTTGCATGCATGCTGTGTAAGTTGTGCGTGCGTGCTTGTTGTTGTCTGTGTATTACCGCAATTTGGCGTTCCGTTGTTTCCTTCCTCCGTCCGTGTGCCTTCTCACGTTCTACACCTGTGATCATGATCTCCCCATTCCAACACTTCCACAGTGGACCCGGCGCCGCTTTGGTACACAAACTTGGCCGAGCAGTGCATGACGCAAGACCCGGAACAGCGCCCAACATTCGCAGAGCTGGAGGAGCGCTTGAAACGTGTGTCGTTGTTGTAGTCGTCGTGGTGGTGGTGTGAGTGTGTGTATGTGTGTGTATGTGTGTGTATGTGTGTGTATGTGTGTGTGTGTTGGATTTTGCCACCGCGTGTGCCTGTGTGCTTGTGTGTGCATGCACGTGTGCCCTTTGTTACATGGGACGGCGTTGTTACTTGTTAACCGTCGCATTGGTTTCCTTTCTTCGAAGCGCTGTTCGTTTCTGTTATTTTCTTCTTTGTTCGTTCTGATACCGCTGTGACTTTTGCAATGTATTGAAGGCGACGATGCAAAGAGCCGCAACCGAATGAGCAAACAAAGCAACAAACAAACAAACGACGTGGTTAACAATAGGGGCACGGGCAGTGTTTCCAGAAAACAGCAAACAACAATGTACATGCAAACACGAAGAACAGGACCGAGCACGTCATGTCACTCACAACGCACACACGCACACACACACGCACACACACACGCACACACACACGCACACACACACACACACACACACACACACACACACACACACACACACACACACACACACACACACACAAACACGCTGTGATTTTAGATGGTGGTGGGCCCACTGCGTGAAACAGCCTGATGACCACCGCCACTGCCGTCATGTCCACCAGTGCCACTGCCGCCACCAGATCGCCGCCTGGCAGCCACGACTGCAAACACAACGATGGCCACAAGAGCAAGGCCGCCAATAACGGCGCCCACAATCGCTGCAAGTGGCAGGCCGCCATTGCCCCCGCTGCCGCTGCCACGAGGCGATGACGACGGCGGTTTGGTGGTGCTGTCCTCGCCGTTTGGCGCTCGCCCTGGCGGCTGTGCAGTCGTGTGCGGCTGTGTTGTTCGCGGGGGCGCTGGCGCTGTCGACGATGACGTGCGCACATCAATCACGGTTGGCTCGGCCGTGAGCACCACGTTGGAGGTGTTCCTGACATCTGTGCTGCCTGCGAGCAAGGTGATCTGCTCCAGCAGCGTGCCGTCTGTCAGGGCCTGCTGCACCTGCGAGATGACGGCCACGGGATCGTCAGTCAGCACGCCAAGCAACAGCTCCACCCCATCTGCCACGCCACCAACCGGCCCGTTGCTGGCGCCGAGGAGCGCGCTGTCATGCTGCTCACCGCCCACCATCTCGTCTGCGCGCCTGTGCCGGCCGTCATCCAGGCCAATGAGGGACGTGACTGCATCAAGCACATCCACGTGGTCGTGGCTCAGGCCAGGCAGCCCAATCGACAGCACAAGGGCGTCCTTCAGCTGGCGCGAGTCAAGCATGGACGGCGACCCAAGCAGCGCCAGGCGCAGCTGCACCTGCAGGTCCAGCTCCACAATGCCCAGAATGTTCAGCTGGCAGTCCACCTTGCACTGCACAAACGCGCGCCAGCACGACAGGATGTCGAGGTCGTCGAGGGACAGGCACAGGCGCAGGTCAATGTCACAGCACACAACACACGTCTGCAATGGTGCCACGCAAATGAGGTCGGATGGCTGGCATCCGCAGCGGCGCGTCTCTGCGTCCCAGTAGCAGCTGTTGTCTGGCCCTCGCGGTTCGTTGTCCATGCACCGCGCCTGCGTATTGCACACGTACTGGCGCACCTCGTCCTGACACGCACACGCAAGCATGGGGCGTCGCCGCAAGGCCACGGGAAAGGTGAGACACGCCATTGTGGCAAACGTCCACGCTTGTACCAACATCCACACACACAGACAAACGCACACGAGTGCGAAACACACGCGCATGCATACACACACTCATGCATACACACATGCATACACACACACATACATGCAAACACATATACATGCGAACACATATACATGCAAACACATGCAAACGCATTCCACACACACACACACACACACACACACGCACGCACACACACACACACACACACACACACACACACACACACACACACACACACACACACACACACACACACACAAGCAACATACCCTTGCTGTGAAGAAGTTTACGTCGTCGCACGTCCTGGGGATGGTCTGGCACGCGCCTCTGTACGCCACCTTGACGCCTGCGCAGCGCGCATGACACGCAGAAGGATATGTCTTGCCGTCGGCGCCGCACACCCTCCTGCGGTGGCGGCGGTGGCGACCATGGCCATGCTGGTGGCCGTCGTAATACTTGTCTGGATGTGAGTGGTGGTGCATGTCATCATCGTCGTCGCCCCAGGCATCATCACTGTCGTAGTCCTTCTCGCACTTTTCCTCACAACGCACACACTTGCCTCCATAGACAGGGTGCGTTCCCGCGCGTTCCGCGTAGCACGCGTTATCGTACGTCTTGCCGTCTTTGCAGCACACGGGCGAATGCCCATGCTTCTCGCACGGGTCGCCTGGCTCGCACTGCACGCGCTGTCCTGAGTACGGGTCTGTCCACACGGGCTTGCAGCTCCTGCACGCGTCCGGCTCGCACACGGCGTTCGGGTTGGCTGGGCAGGTGGCCTGTGCGCAGGGGTTGTAGCGGCACGCGGCAGCACCGCAAGTGCCATCACCGTAGCAGCGCGCACGCCGCCCATCTGGGGTGTAGAACTCCGCCTTGCAGCCGCCGCACGTGTTGGCGCGACAGATGGCGGTGCTGTCGCCGGGGCACACCGCGTTGTCGCAGGGATTGGCAAAGCACTGCACATGTGTCTGGCCGGGCGGGCACTGGTGCGCGTCACCGTACACCCACTGGCCGTCGTCGTCATCGCCGCTGTGGCCGTTGTATCCGGGCCAGTGCAGGTAGTCGCCGTTGCTGAAACACATGTCGTGACGCACGTGCGCGTGTGGTCGGCGGTCGTATTGGTGGCGGTACGAGCGCCCGGCGTTGCGGTTGTACTCGGACTGCACCTGCTGCTGGTGGGTGTGCACGCGCTGGCCGTAGGCATCATCGCGCTCCATCCAGTTCATCTCGCGCCACCACGGCGGCAGCGGGCGGCGCGGCCGACACGTGCGCTGGTTGCGCTGGAAGCGACGTGCAATGATTGCATCATACACGCCGCGCTGCATGCGGTACACGTCGCGCATGTACAGCGGGTGGCCGCCGCCGACGCCGCACCCGCGCTCGTCCAGGCCCTGCGCATCAAAGCCGTGCGCGTCGTACCCGCGCGCATCAAACCCGTACATGGACGGTGGGTACGCGTCGTTCTCGCTCGCGTCGACGGTGACGTACTGCCCGCTGCGGTCGCGCCCGTAACGGTCGCGCCCGTACACGTCGTAGCCGTCGCGATCGTAACCATCGCGGTTGTAGCGCGGGGGCGGGGTGCCCGCGTGGTAGCCGTCCGTGTCGTGTGTGCCGCCAAAGGCCGTGGCGTCGCAGGGCGGGTTCTCGCCCGGCGGGAGGTAGGTGACACACAGCTGGGCCTCGCTGTCCAGCACATCGGCGGGCGTGCGCGGGAAGGGGTCGAGGGTGGTGTGCAGCAGGCTCTGCGGGTACTGCAGGCCGTTGCCCAGCTCCGTCTGCCAGTCATCCCACAGCTTGTCAACAAAGGCGTGGTGCATGATGAAGACGGGGTCGTACGGGGACATGTATGTGATCATGGTGCCGCCGACGAACATGTGCAGGTCGCCGTGCAGGGCCTCCAAGTTGGCGGCCATATCGATGAAGGACGTGCTTGCAAGCACGGCGGCGACGTCGTCAAACGACGGGATTGCCCAGCCCGCGTCCCAGTCGCGCTCAATGCAGGGCGAAAAGTGGGCAAAGGGCCCCGTGACAATGCACGAGTCTGCGGCGTTGCCGTTCCCGCCAACAATGTTCCACACGGGCGACGTCTCTGGCGACATGGCGTCAATTGTCCAGTCCCAGTAGGGGATGGCGAGGTCGCAGTTGCCGCTCACCTCCCGCAGCGCCATCTCGACCTGGCTCAGGAACTCCCGGTGCCAGGGCAGGAAGCGCGGGTTGCCGTGCGCCTGTGGCGCTGCATTGAGGTGGACCTCCGCCAGCGACGTCCACGTGCCGCTCTGGTACAGCATGTTGACGGCGCCAATGAACGCCGTCACCTCCTGCGGGGTGAGATCGCGAATCTCACGGCGCGGCTGCACGGTGCACTGGCACGACACAGTGCCGTCTGTTGCGCAAAAGCATGACTGGCAGCCGTAGGTGAACGTCTGCCCGTACGCGTACGCCTTGCCGCCGTACACGCACTGGCGTGGCGCCTCCCACTTGGGGTTGCCGCAATGGCGCTCCGCGCATGCCCTGCCCTGGGCAAAAGACACCACCTCCACCCCTTGCTCCGGCTGCTCGAGTGCCTGGCACTGCGAACGTGTGAGGCGGCGGCAGGAGAATTCTGCCTTGGAATAGTACCCGTCGTAGGAATAGCCGTCCTCATCGCACCCGTGCTTGTCGACGCCGGTGCGGTCCAGCCCGTCCTCGTCGTACTGCTGTTCGCGCGTGTACGTGTACTGCTGGCCGTCGCGTGCGTACGTGTCGTCGTATCCGCGGACATCGTATCCGGCGCCGTCACAGCCACGCGCGTCGTACCCGCGCTCGTCCTGGCCGTGCTCGTTGTACGTGTCGCGGGAGAAGCGGGCGTGCGAGCGTGGGCGGTGCGTTTCCCCATCTCGGGCAACACCGTTGCGATCATAACCGTCGCGGTCGTAGCCGTTCCGGTCGTACCCGTACGCCTTGCCATCCCCGTGCACGATTCGTCGGGTGCAGCACGCGCCCACCGCACAGCGCTGCTCGCACGCCTGCTTGGTCTCGAAGTTGTTGCCGTTGCCGCCGCAGCCGCCGTACGTGAAGTGCTCGCACTGCTGCGAGCGCGGGTTGAAGTACCAGCGCGGGATGGCGGCCTCACATGGCCCCGTTGCCGGCGGCCGGCTGCACACGCCAGGGTGATACGCGGGTGGGCCATGGTTGCCGTTGTTGTTGCCGTTGTTGTTGGGGTTGGGTGGGTGGCCCCTGCCCGCGTGTCCGTCGCACGCACCAAGGCACGAGTACAGCGCGTCAAACATGGCACGTGCATGGTAGTCCTGGTTTGGTGCGATGTTCTGGTAGCAGGCGTAGTTGCAGCCGGCATATGTGCTGCGTGCGTCATACAGGCGGTACAGGGCCTCTCTGCAAGGGCCGTAGCGCTCGCACGCCTCGTAATCGCGGCGGCAGTTGCCTGTGCAGCGGTCTGTGGGCGTGCAGTCGACGGGAATCGGCTGTCCGCGGCTGTCGTACGCTGGCTGGCGGCGATCGTAGAAGTGGGCCGCACACACGCCGCAGTTCTCCACCACGCACGTGGCTGATGGGTGTGCGAGGCAGCGGCGGTGTGCACACAGATTGGGGCAATCCTGCTTGCGGTAGGCTGAGCGGCACGATGGTGGTGGCGGTGGCGTCGGTGGCCTTGATGGTGTTGTTGTTTGTGGTGGGCGGGTGGCTGGTGGTGTTGGTGGCGCTGGTGGTCGCGGTACGGGGCGACACATGGAGAACCACTTGCACACTGGATTGATGGAGCACAGGTCGCGAATCTACTCACAGAGAAAGAGAGAGTGTGTGTGTGGGAAGGGAAGAGAGAGAGAGAGAGAGAGTGTGTGTGTGTGTGTGTGAGCGTGCACGTGTGAGTGAGTAAGTGAGTGGGAAGGGAAGAGAGAGAGTGTGTGTGTGTGCGCGCGCACGTGTGAGTGAGTGACTGAGTGAGTGAGCGCGCACATGTGTGTGTGTGTTGAGCATGTGCAGAGCAACTTCGGTAGTTGGGGCAGGAGGGTGGTCAAAGTAACAGCGTTCGCACCCCCTCATAGGCTCGCCACCCCCTTATGGGATAACGACAGACCGAATGGACTGACCAGGAACAAGGAGCAGACGTCGTCAACGAGGTGGCAGAGGCCCAGTTCGTCCCACAGGCAGCCTGGCTCGCTCATGCAGGCCACCTCATCGTTGTGCTGGCACTGCAAAGCGCTGCCGCAGTGCAGGGTAGCCTCGCACCTTGGGTCACTCATGCACGCATCGTAATCGCCGCTGTAAAGGTGGCATGCCGGTGAAATCGGGCCCGGTGGTGCTGGCGGTGCTGGCGGTGCTGGCGGTGCGGGGAGAAATGCATAGCGATCCGTGCACGTTGGCTGCCAGTCGCACAGCGAGTTTTTGGTGCACTCGTACTCCGTCTGTGATGGTGTAATGTGTGTGTGTGTTGGGGGGGGGGGGGGTAAGACATGAGCAGAGGGCACCTCAAGAGCAAGGTGGCACTTATTACTGTCTTTACAGACGTACAACACACGAACACACTCACGCAAAAATACACAATAGCGCATACGAACACACACACACACACACACACATTCATACACAAACGCACATACCGTGATGGCGTTGCATTGGCGCGCGTCAACGTAGCAGCCCTGGTTGAGGTCCCATCGGCAACCGGCCAAAAGCTCACACAGGATGGGGAGACCACCGGCGCAACTGAGTTCCGCTGGGGAACAGGTCCCAGAGAGCTTGCAGTTTGGATCGGAGAGGCAGGCCTGTTGGTTTGCGCCGTACATGGCACACGCGCTGCTGGCAGCAACGAGCTGAAGGCGCGAACCGGCCAACACGAGGCCGAGTAGCAGGGCCACCAATTGGATAGGCCGGGCAAGCCCGCGCCGCTGCATGATCCTCATCGTAGCTGAGGTCATGGAAGCGGGAAAGGGGAATGTGGTACAGAGGAAGGCGGCCGCCTTGGCAAGGGATCGCCTCGCACCTCAAACCAGAGAGTTGGGGGCTGTCGCACCAATGTTAACTAGGTTGGTTGTATCAGGGTGGGGGGTGGGGTGCGAGTGAGGGCACACGGCTATCCGGTACAGAAGGGCTCCGCCCGCAGCTGAAACGAGAGAGGGTGGAGAGAGAGAGAGAGGCAGAAGCCGCCTAGTTGAGTGTATGGAGGACGTTGATGGTGAGCCTAGCGTCTATGTGTGCTTATGCTGCGCATGTACGTTCAGGTCCAGCTGAGAACGGAGAAAATGAAACACAGACCCCGCACACACAACAAAAACGAGCGTGCGCAGATCTTCCCAGGCTCGCTGTGAACAGGTGAACGCGGCGCTCCGCCCAACCCGCAAGCACCCATGACCAGCACTCGTGCGTGTGTGTGTTTGGGGAGTGCACGCACACATACCGTACCCATGCCTGTAGGTCTAGGTGGCAGGGACGCGTGTGCTGTCTGTGTGAACTCCGGCACGAACTCCTTGTGCCCAGCTCGGCGAGGTGTTGGTTTTGGCACATGGAAGCAGAAATAAAGAGTGCGTGCCTGTACAGTACATGCGTGTGTGCGCGTGAGTGAATGAGGGAGGAAGAGTGTGCGAGGTGGGTTGGGGCTGTTTGGTTGCCAACGACAAAGAGGGAAACTGGGGGGGGGGGGGGGGGAGGACACGACAAACCGCAACAAGCAGAGGAAGGAGGAACGTTGCAGCGGAACGCAGGTGCAAGAACTTCACCTCAGGCTTCATGAACAAAGGATGGGAAGCACGAGCGAAAGGCGTGTGCACGCAACAGGGTTCCCAGCCAAAGAGCGGTTTGAACGCGTGCAGTTGATGAGTTGGCTTGTGTGTGTGTGTGTGTGTGTGTGTGTGTGTGTGTGTGTGTGTGTGTGTGTGTGTGTGTGTGTGGTGTGTGTGTGTGTGTGTCACTCATGTTGGTCGGCGGGCGCGTGTCATTTGATGAACGAGGGTGACGTCAACGGCATGCATGGATGTCCCACCATCACATTGCCAGCCGCCGGCAGTTGAAATCCAAGCAAGCGAGAGGAGGAAGCCTGGAAGCGAGCAAGACGAGGGAAGACGAGGGAAGGCTGTCAGGAAATGAAGCAAGGAAGCAGGGTTGCTCGTTGACAAGCGTGCGTTCTTGGGCACTGCCATCATTGGTCGTGCTTGCCGATGCTCTTAAAACAGCACATTGCGATACAGGAGCTCAGTTGCTGGGTCGTGGGTCTGCTGGGCGCCTGGTTGCTGCTGGTCGTTGTTGGCAGTGAGCAAGCAGGACAGCACCGCAAAAACGTGTGTGTTCTTGTTTTGGGGGGGGGGGTTGTTTGCATTTCCACTCCGCGACCTGCCTGCAAGCACACCAAACCACACCACACCACACCAAACAGCCAAACATGTCGCTGGACACGAGCGTGAAGGACCTGAAGCTGCTGACGGCGTGCTTCTGCAGCCTGTGCGGGCTGAAGGACTTTGAGCCCGCGTGCGCGGAGAAAAGCGTTTGCCTGTGCATCAAAACCAAAGCCGAGTGCGAGCTGGTCCAGCCCACCACGTGCTGCAAGTCGCAAGAGGTCACCTGCTGCCTCGACTGCCGCAGCGCACTCCCACCAGACAAAGAGGTCCCCTGCATGTTCGGCGTCCTTGGCTTCATCTGCTTTGGCCAGCGATAGGCGTGTGCATACACGTGTGTGTATGTGTACTTGTGTAGGTGTGTGTGTGTGTGTGTGTGTGTGTGTGTGTGTGTGTTGGGTGTGCGATTGCACGCTGCTTTGGCGTTTTGTTTTCGTGTTTTGGTTTCGCGCGTGTTTTGGTTTGGTTTGCCTTGGGTCATGCAATGAGTAAACAACACACTCAAATGACGTCTCAACAGAAGCACAGTGACACGTGAAGCTCTGCGAGCGAGCAAGAGGGGCAGCAACAACCAACACCAACAAACAACACGTGGTCGTGTTGGGATTGCAAAAGTGGCGTGCGGTGATTTCTTCCGCAGACGAAGAACCCTCAAATCCAAAACAACAACAACAACAACAACAACAACAACAACAACAACAAAATGGCGCAAGTGTCCTGCTGTCGTCGGCAGAAGGGGCGGCTAATGAAGGCGGCCTTGCTCTCCTTCTCCGCGGCCGTGGTCGTCGTGTGCGTCCACGCCCTGACAATGCTGCAATGTGCAGGTGGGTGGCGAGTTTTGTTGGTAGTGCTTGTGTTCGTCCGTGTGAAACGCGCTGCTGTTGAGAAGGTTGAGAGGTTGAGAGGTAGAGGGCACATTCACAGCAAACTGCATGTGTCCGTGTGCCCTCGTTTTGTTGGGGCACAGGCGCCGTCGGCGAGATGTGCAACACCGGAGGAGGAGGAGGAGGACAAGACTGTGCTCAGGATGGGAGCGAGGTGTGCCAGAGCGGCTCGTGCGTGTGCGCCGCAGGTATGGGGTGTAAGTCTGTAATTCGGGGTTGTGACTTGTGTCATCATGCTTGCGGACAGCTTTAGGATGCGCGGGTGGGTGCTGTTTGGTGTTAGTGAGGGTGTGGTGGCTCACTTGAAGCGAAATGGTGTGTGTGTGTGTGTGTGACTTTGTAGGGTATGGCTACACGGGTGACGATTGCGTTGAGTGTGGGTTTCATTTCTACAAGTCCTCCGCCGGTAATGAAGCGTGCAGCGAGACCATTCGGTGCGACAAGGGCGAACGATGGTTTCAAGCGTCAAGCAGCGATCAGGCCACCTGCCCAGGCTGCCAATTTGGTGAGTGACACCGTGTGCAGCGCTGCATCACCACCTTGTATTGCCTGCAGCGAAGAATGCACTGCTTTCATCTTTTGCTCACACATCGTCGCGTGTCTAACGACATGATCACGCCATCATCAGGCAAGTATCAGGACAAGACTGGTCACCGCAACGAGGACTGCTACGACTACTCCACGTGCGAGGCTGGGAAGTACGTGACGCAGGAGCCCAACACGAAACAGGATCGGGAGTGTGGGTTGTGCGAACCAGGCAAATACACAGCCTTGACCAACCAGCCAAGCTGCAGAAACTGTCCCGGTGGCAAATACCAGAACGAGGAAGGGCAATCAGGTGCGTGCGTGCGTGCGTGTGTGTGTGTGTGTGTGTGTGTGTGTGTGTGTGTGTGTGTGTGTGTGTGTGTGTGTGTGTGTGTGTGTGTGTGTGTGTGTGGTGTGTCGTCGTCGTCGTTCCCTCCTGACATTCGTGTGGTTCATGTCCACATCTTCTCATTCCTCAACCCCCGCCCCATCTTCTGGATCGCTCCCCTCCCACCAGGCAAGTACCAAGACGAGACCGGCCACCAGGAAAAGTCGTGCAAAGGTTGCCCCACTGGGGAGTTCCAACCTGGCAGCGGCGCCTCAAGTGAGTGCCATCATGGTGTGTGTGTGTGTGTGTGTGTGTGTGTGTGTACATAGCACTCGACTGCTTGCATCTCGTGTCTCTCTCGATCTCTGATTGTGAGCAAGCGGAACCAGCACCATCCCCTTCTTACTCACATGTTTGTGTCTGCTTTCCTCACACTGTGTCACTACCCAAACTCACACCTTGTCATGTAGGCTGCGAGGCCTGGAAGACCTGCGGACAGGGCGAGAAGTGGATATCTGGATCGACTACAGAGGACGCATCGTGCTTGCCATGCGGATCACGTAAGCAGCAAATCCTGCAATTGCAATGAGGAGAACAAACTGGTAATGACTGCAGCGTTGTGTGGTGGTGCAGTATCTTCTTCCCATTCACACGCCACCTTATCCCTCCCCCCCCCCTTCTCGCCGACACTGTTCCTCTTACCCTTCAGAGGAGTACCAATCCAAGACCTCCCACCAGGACACGTCGTGTGACGCCTGGACCACATGCAGCAGCGGCTACTACGTGACCGCCGACCCCACCTCCTCATCAGACAGGACTTGCGACAAGTGTGATGCCGGCACATTCAGCGACACCATGAACGCAGACAACTGCAAGAGCTGTGGCGCTGGCAAATACCAAGATGCCTCTGGCCAAACAGGTATGTTGAACTGACTCGATGCCGATGCAGCGCGTCGCTCATGTCTTGTGTTGTTAGCCTTGTCGTGCGCTTCCCTCATGTCCTCCTCGCCTCATTCCTCCTCTTCTTCTCCCACTCCCTCTTGAATGTCACTCCAGACTGCAAGGACTGGACAATGTGCAGCCAGGGCGAGAAGTGGACAACGGGATCATCCACAGAGGATGCAACGTGCTCGCCGTGCAGTACACGTGAGTCGAAGACAGCAACAAGGGTGAACATGGGGCACCGTGATCATACAGTGTGCACGCGCTTGTGCCATGCATGATGTTGGGTTGTGCTGTTGTTGCATTTGTTGATGAAGTCCGCTGCTCTTTGCACAAGCACTGTCACTCACTCACCCACTCACTCACTCACTCACTCTCACTCACTCCCTCCTCCCTCCCTCACACTCATTCACCTCATGTGCAGTTCACTACCAGTCCAAGACTTCGCACCAGGACACCTCGTGTACCTCGTGGTCCACGTGTGGCCCGGGATATGAGGTGACCACGGAACCGACAGCCAGCAACGACCGCTTGTGTGCAATGTGCGATTACGGGCACTACCAGGATGGCACGAACCAGCAGGACTGCAAGCCGTGTGACCCTGGCCAGCACCAAGACGAGCGCGGACAAACAGAGTGCAAGGCGTGTGGTGCAGGCAAATACCAGGGCAGCTCTGGCGAGAAAGGTGCGGGGCAAGGTGGTGCTGGTGATGAGCTGCACCAGTGGCGATGTCAGCAGACTTGCTTGCTGTGTGTCCCCACCTTCAACACCTCGTGCACATCTTACTCACATCCGTCTTTCTCCCTCCGCACGTTTTCTGACAGACTGCATCACATACAGCACGTGTGATGCAGGAACCAAGTTCGTCACTGGAACCACGATGGAGGACCGCACGTGTGAACTATGCGAAGCAGGTGGGTTGCACCTGTGCTTCTCGTGTCTCTTTGCCGCTGTGTTTACGTCTCTGTTGCACCCTGTGATTGCTTTCTTCTTCCCTCGCATGCCACTCACACTAGGTCGTGCTTCTCATCTTGTGCATTGCCTGCAGGCAAGTTCCGTGCCGATACCGGCCACAGGCTCACGGAATGCGAGGCGTGTGCTGACGACACGTTTCAATCGGACGAAGGACAAAGCAGCTGCATGGTGTGCAATGAGTGCGATCCTGGATATATCAATGACCAGGATTGCACACCAACAAGCGACCGCACATGCAAAGGTGCTGATGGCGTGTGAAGATACCAACTGCTTGTATGGTGACACCTTCGCTTGCCTGCAAGCACGCTTTTGCTTTCTTCTCACCCAACCGCCATGTATTTCACTGCAGACATTGCAAAGCCCATCATCGTGCTGCGGCGACCAGACAACAAGGAGGAAATTCAAGACACATATGTGGTCGAGGCCACGTTTGCCTTTGATCCCCCGATCTTCACGGCGACAGACACGGCGGCTGGCACCGTGACGAAGACGCCACCACCCAACATCGACGATATTGACACGAGTGAGTGTGTGAATGCCATGAATGGATGTGGTGCCCTTCTGGGTGCGGTTGAACACTCGCATCTTGGTTTGCACTGCATCTTGTTGCATGTTGTTCTCACGCAAAATGCACCACTCACACTCACATTCACATACACAACACACAACACACACACACACACACAATACACACGCACAGGCACTGTGGGGTCTGACCAGATGCTGACGTACACGGCGACGGATGCGAACATGAACACGGCAACACGTGACATCACCGTGGAAGTCGTGGACACGACAGGGCCCGCCATCACATTTGACCCTGCAGTGCTGCAGCTGGAGGCCGGGGAGGAGGTGATGCGCAGCAATTTCACGGCCGGCGTTTCCATCGTGGACCGCGTGGACGGACCACTGGGCATCGACCTGCTGGAATACGATGCCAGCGACGTGAACGTGAACACGCTGGGCATGTACGAGGTGGTGTACACGTTGTCTGCACCCGACTCGAACAACAACGAGGCGCCGCCCACCACACGCACAGCAGCCGTCGTCGACACCCTTCCCCCAGTGAGTGTGTCTGTGTGTCTGTGTGTGTGTGTGTGTGTGTGTGTGTGTGTGTGTGTGTGTGTGTGTGTGTGTGTGTGAGTGTGTGTGTGTGTGCATGAGTGTGTTTGTGTTGTGTTGCGTGCCTTCATCTGCGTGGACACTCACTTCCCTCCTTGCCTCCGTTTCTCCTTGCCTCCGAGTCTCCTCGCCTCTCATTCAACTCTTTTGTCTGTTCACTTCCTCACCAATCCCTGTCACACATTGCCAACCAATCATAGGTCATCACCATTGGTTTTGGCGACCGCAACGTGTCGGAACACAACGTGGTTATCCACGAGGCGGCAACAGAGTTTATCTTCCCGAGCCAGTCTGCATTTGATACATTCGACACCGCTGTCAACGGCGGCGATGTGCGACGCAATGAAGAGCCGGTGCGTTGTCGCTCTTTTCCTGTATCTTCCTTGTCGCTATTGTGTCTTAACCACGTCATGCGCCATTCCATCGCTTCCATTTCTCCCACTTCTCACTCCCCGTCTCACGCACCCTTTTCCCTTGACACTCACATTCCCCCCGACTTCCCTCCCCCAACACTCCCCCTGTTCGCAGACCTTCCACTCGGTTGTGGACGATGGCACGCAGTTCACGTTCACGTACACGGCGACGGATGCATCGGGCAACACGGCGACGGTGGTGTATGTGATTGAGGTGCGGGACACGATTGCGCCAACCATCACCATCAATGGCGAGCACAACATCACGCACAAGGCCGGGACGGAATATGTCGATGCAGGAGCAACAGCAACGGACCTGCTGGAGGATGCGATTGGGCGCGGGGTGGAGGTGGTGGTTACCAATAACGTGGATACAACGCCAGCCTCAGCAGCTGAAGCGGTGTTCACGGTGGAGTACGACGCGTGCGACAAGGCCGGCAACTGTGCCAAGGCAACGCGCTACGTGACCGTCTCAGATCCCAACGCACCCAATATCGAGCTCATTGGCGATTCGCCACTTGTGGTGGAGGCCGGCAGCAACTTCAGCAACATTGACCCTGGCACCAGCGTGAGCAGCCCCGTGTTCAACTCTGCCAACCTGACCGTCTTTGTTGACGATGGTGGTTACATGAGCACCCCAGCAGTGACGCCTGCGACCTTTACTGTGACATACACGGTGACCGACCCGGTACACAGACACAAGAGTGTTGAGCGCACAGTGATTGTCATTGACACGACACCGCCAGACCTGCGCGTCAATGGTGGTTTAGACGTGACGGTTGGCGACGGCGTGACGTGGGTTGAGCCGGGCGTTGCACGTGCATATGATAACATCGATGGTGATGTGCGATCGCGTGTGGTGGCGACGACGCGGCTTGAGGAGGCCGGCGTTGTTGTTCCCACCGTGTGCGCGTATTCGTCTGCGCGCGAGTTTGTGCCGCCGCTGTCGCCGCGCGTGTGGTCTTCACCTCAAATGGACGCGGTGGAGTCGAGAGCGCCGAGCGGCACCGTGTACCACATCAACTACACGGTGGCGGACGCAGCGAGCAACGTGGCGTTTGTGGAGCGCGTGGTGCGGGTTGCAGACCCCTCGTCGCCTCTCCTCCGCGTCAATGGTCGTGGTGTCATGACGCTGGAGTTTGGTGACGATCGAGGCTCATTTGCCGATCCTGGAGCAACAGCTCTCGACGCCCACGACGGCGACCTGAGCGGGGACGTGTGCGTTGGCGTGAGCATTGTGACGCGCGACGCGAGCGGCGTTGTTGCGCCAGGCGACGTTGGCGGTATTGGCGAAGCTGCCATCAACTACGTCCTCTCGCTTGCTCGCAACGCATCCACAACACCAGCACCACCTCCCGCCACTTTCACCGCTTCCACAACTCCGATGACCGCAGACACAAGCAACAACAGCAGCAGCAGCAGCAGCACAGCGACAACGACTACTGCAGCTGGGACGACAGCTGTGGACATGTTTGGGCTGGACGCTGCTGTGGCGTCGGCGGAGGTGGGCACGGTGTATGTGCTGCAGTACAGCGTGCACGACCGGGCGGGCAACGCCGCTGTTGGTGTGCAGCGGGCGGTGGTGGTGGTGGACACGACGCCGCCCGAGGTGACGCTGTATGGCGCGGAGGAGGTGCACGTGCTGTATGCGACACGATATGTGGAGGCCGGGTACAGCGCACAGGATGTGCACGACGGCAACGTGACGTCGCAGGTGGTGGTGAGTGGGGCCGATGCGATTGACGTGCACGTGGCGGGGACGTACGAGGTTGAGTACGCGGTGACGGATGCGAACGGCAACACAGGTGTCGCGGTGCGCACGGTGGTGGTTGATGCCTTGACCCGACCCGATGGTGTGAATACAGTGGTGAGGCTGGTGCTTGCAGGCACGGCGGAGTCCATCTTTGGCGGCGAGGTGCAGCAGCTGGAGAGCGACCTGGAGGAGGCGCTGAATGTCGAATTTGTGGTGGTGTTGAGCGTGGAGGATGATGAGGTGGTGACCTTGGACGATGGCAGCATGGCGTCGACGACGGTGGTGCAGTTTGGAGTGCGAGACCCGCACTCCCTTGAATGGGCAGATGTGTCTGCGTTGGTCATGAGCCTGATGCAGAACAGCGCTGCGGGGTTTCGCGTGTTGGAGGCGCATGTTATCCAGGTGGCATCTGCTGCCACCACCACAACCACGTCCCCGGCCTCGTCCTCATCATCTTCTGTCTCCGTCCCCGTCATTGCGCTCGCTCTCTTTTGCTGCGTCCTCCTGGTGCGTGTGTCTGTGTGTGTCTGTGTGTGCGTGTGTGTGTCTGTGTATGTGTGTGTGTGTGTCTGTGTGCGTGTGTGTGTGTGTGTCTGTGTGCGTGTGTGTGTGTGTGTCTGTGTGTGTGTGTGTGTGATGGCTGATGGAGTAGTACTGCATGTTTGTGCTCTCACTCACACACTCTCTCACTCACGCACGCACGATTCACGCACACACAAACTCACGACTTACTCATCACAACCACACACCCTGCACAATTCACACAACCACACTGTGGCAGGTGGCGCTGTTAGTTGCACTGGTGATGCTACGGCGAGAACGTGGTGGCAAGGCACGACTCGCCGCTGCTGTACGTCTAATGTCTGAAGACATAAACACGTGTACCTTCATTTGTGCGTGCTCGCAGCGTGTGTTTGTTTGTGTGAGGCTTGTCAGCAATGACAGCGACTCTCACGGGTATGTCTCATGCACACACACACACATACTCACGCGTGCACACACACACACACACACACCATATGCTTGACAGGACTCCTCGTTCACGACGCTCAATCCAACCTTTTCAACGTCACCTGCACATGACCCCTCTTGTGAGTCGCACACTGTACCGTTGAAACTGTTTTTTTTTTTTTTGTTTTGTTTCCACCACGCACAACGTCTGACGTCCTCTGGTGTGCATGGATGGCGGACGTTCATGAGCGGGTGCACTTGATGCATTCATGCATTTACCTCGCTTCCTTCATTCCCATCTCTCATATTCTCTCGTTGGTCCTGTGTCTCTCAATGCCTTTGGTGCTGCCGTAGCAGCGTATGAGGTTCCTGTTCCTCGTCACGCCAGCAGCACCAGCAGCAGCCCCAGGAGCAGCTCCAACAATCCAGAAGCGGAGAGCGGCACCCAGCAACCAAAGGCCATGCATGTGTGGGCACATGATGTGTACGACATGGAAGCAGGTGAACGAACCCATCCGCCAGAACGCAGGAGCACTGACGTCAGCGCGTTGCCGCCAAAGCCGCCTCGTGTGAGCCGCCGTGGCATCAGCAGTACTGGTGTTGTTGTCTCGCCACGGAGAGCTCTGCGAGCACATCCGCCGCCGCCTTCGCCAGCGGCTTCCACTTCCTCTTCGAGCCGCGCCCCAATCTATGAAACTGTCGAACGCGTTGGAGGCGCAAGCGAAGCGTGAGGTGATGAAGGTGTGAGGAGATGGGGGAGAAAGGGGAAGGGAAGGTGCAGAGGTGTATCCCCACACCTGCTCCGTTTGTTGTTAATTTTGTATGTTACATGTACATCACCTCTTCATGTGCTTCATGTGGTCTGTGGTGGGCAAGCTTGAAGGCTTGATCTTGATGGCTACGGCTACAGGGCTACATTGGCCTCTTGTTTCCTTGTTTCAGTTGTTTTCGGTTGTTTTCAGTTGTTTTCGAGTGGTGTCACATCATGCCAACCCACTCTGTCTCTCGTTTGCACCGCCACCCGTTGTTACCTATACATGAGAGTAAACAATCGAGAGTCCAGAAGAGAAGAACTCTTGAAGTGGTGTGTGAGCGTGTGATGCTGACTGATGTGTGTGTGGCCAACAAGAGAACAAGAACAACACCACCTTCGGCGGCTGGTGGTTCAAAACTCCCGCCACATTCAAAGCACGTAATTGTGGTGTCGCATACAGTTCATGATCTGCCGCCAACTTTTTGAGCAGTGGCGCTGACGATGACACGTCCCACACCCCAGCTCTGCTTCCCCGCCCGCTCGTGTCCTTGTTGTCAGTTCCAGGTGTCAAACGTCAGTATGTCACCGTTGGAGATGATGTCAGTACCAGCAGTACCAGGGTCGCGCATGATGCATGGGCGTGCCAACGCCTGTTGCCTTCCGCAATGCGTGCCTGTGATGGCGTTCATTTTCCTTTCTCACACTGAGCACAAGGAGTTGACGGAAAGATTTAAGAGAAGACGCAGGAACTCCGCGCCAGACTGCCAGAAGGCCAGAGCACCTCCCCCTCCCCTCCCCAAAGCCCAAAGCACACGTGGCCACAGCCTCACCACTCCAACCCCCGGCTCCCGCAAGAAACATCCAACCAAGCAATGATGGCTAACCCGCCTCAACGTCGGGCCTTTGTGACTGGCGCTGCCGGTTTCATTGGCATGCATCTTTGTGATGCACTGGAGGCCGCAGGGTGGACTGTGGTTGGCGCAGACATCCATCGCAATCCCCGCCGTCCCGATATCCACCAAGTTGACCTTCGTCAGGCCGAGTGGTGCGTGCAGCTTGCCAAGGGATGCGACGTCATCTTTCACCTCGCCGCTGACATGGGTGCGTGATGTGCATGGATGCGTGATGTGCATGGATGCTTGATGTGCGTGCTCGCCATGTGCGTGGGCATGTTTGTTCTGTCACGTGTGGCCCTGTGGCTCTGTTCTTGTGGCTCTGTCACTCACACACACACACATGCTTCTTTCACACACATGCTTCTTGTACATGTGCACCACACCCACTCACTCATGATGATGGCTTTTATGCTTGCGCACATGTCAACTCACCATGCCAGGTGGAATGGGGTTCATTGGCAACGAAGTCAACAACGCCGCCATCGTCAAGTCCAACCTGGGACTGACGCTGGCCGTGGCTGAGGCCGCCCAGGCCTCGGGCGCCATCGTCGTGTACACGTCATCCGCGTGCGTGTATCCGGAAGACCTGCAGAAGGAGGCCGAGTGCGCCCCTCTCCACGAGAACGACGCCGGCATCCCGCCCCCAGATGCGTACGGGTGGGAAAAGCTTGCTGGCGAGCGCGTGCTCAAGCACGCCCTGCCTCCAAACCGCTTGCGCATCGCGCGCCTGCACAACGTCTTCGGGCCCCACTGCACGTGGTTTGGTGGCCGCGAAAAGGCCCCGGCCGCTCTCCTGCGCAAGGCGCTCGCCCTCACGTTCTCACCGTCCGCCACCAGCGGCGCCGGTGACAAGGAATCGACTTCGCGCTCCGTGGAGGTGTGGGGCGACGGAAAGCAGACTCGCACCTTCCTCTACGTGGACGACTGCGTACGCGCCCTCATGGCACTGGCCACCATGACCCCGCCCAGCAGCACTCTGGACGCTGCTCCCCGCACCACTGCTGGTACTACCACGACTACGACCACGGCTGCAACTACGACTTTGACTGCAACTGCGCCTGCGCCTGATTCTGCAACTGCAACTGAAGATGACTATTCTGGAAGTGGCCACGGCGGCGAACGCGGTAGCGCGGCACAGCCAACCGTTGTCAACGTTGGTTCCGACCACATCATCTCCATCAACGACTTTGCCGCCCTCGCCGTGTCCGTCGCACACGCCACTGCCGCAGAAGACGCCGATGGCCGTGGCAGCGATGGCAGCGATGTTGTCATTGAGCATGCGGAAGGTCCACAGGGCGTGAGCGGCCGCAACTGCGACGCCTCGCGTGCGCTGCGACTGCTGAATTGGGAGCCGCAAGTGACGCTCGAAGAAGGCATGCGGCGCACCGCCAAGTGGATGCGCCAGGAGATGAAGGCGGTGCTCGCCTCAATCGCATCCACCACCCATTGTGGTGACGCCGACGACGTCCGTGACGGTGCCACTGCCAAAGCTGGTTCTAATGAACCTGCTGCTGATGAACCTGCTGATGCTGCTGCTGTTGCTGATGCTGATGTTGCTGATGCTGATGTTGCTGCTGCGGCAGAGCGCGCTGCGTTGCTCGCGGCCTGGCGAAGCAGCCAGCTGTCCATCACGACGGAGGCTGCGACCGTCACCACTCCGACAGTGGGTGAAGACGCTGTTCACAGGGTGGCGGAGGAACGGACGTCGTTTGGCTTGCTGCTGCCCGTGACATCCCGCGGGTATGACGAGAACAAGCCCGAGGTGTTCTGGGACCGTGTGCTGGGCACGCTGAGCCAGCTAGGCACCAGCGTGCGCGGCGACCCGCTGTGGCCCACCATGCGCATCGTCCTTGGCCTGGACGACGACGACGCCTTGCTTGGCGAGCACTGCCCTGGGCGTGAACGCCTGGTGTCATACCTGCAGCAGAACGTGTGCTGGCGCGGGGGTGCCGGCAGCGCGGCGTCAGTGACCGTGCTGTCGCTGTCACGTTACAAGCGTGGCGCCATATGCCAGTACTGGGACGCCCTGGCCCGGCGCGCCCGCGAGCTTGGCTGCACGCACTACATCCTGCTCGGCGACGACGTGGATGTGAAGTCGCCCGGGTGGATGACGGCGATTGCCAACGCCTTCAGCGACATTGCGCAGCGCACGGGCCTGCCGCTTGGCTTTGGCTGTGTGGCCTTCACGGACGCTAACTTCCCCGGTTTCCCCACCTTCCCCGTCGTGTCGCACGTGCACCTGTCCATCTTGGGTGGCCGCCTCGTGCCCAAGTCCGGCCACTTTGTCAACCAGGACGCGGACCCGTTCCTGTTCCAGCTGTACCGGCGCTGGGGCGCGTCGACCATGCTGTCTCAGGCACGCCTCGTCAACACCATTGGCGGTGAGCGGCCTGGCCGCTACGACAAGCAGCACACGCGCTGGACGGGGCCTGTGCTCACACAGACTGTGCGAGACATCGAGGTGTGGCTTCAGCAGCAAGGCCCGCGCACCGCCGCCGCTGCCAAGCGCGCGCGCAAGCTGGTCATCGACATTGTTGTGCCGACGTATCGCTGTAACCTGGAGCAGCTCCGCCCCATCCTGCATTTGGAGGCGCCGCCAGACGTCAGCCTCGGGTACATTGTGGTGGTTGATCGCTCGCGCGACGACCCAGACGCGGCTGCGTGCCTGCAGGCACTCGAGAACAAGTTTGAGTACGACTGGCGCTACCGCATCCGCTGCCAGGAGGGCAACACGGGCGCCCCTGAAGCGCGCAACCGCGGCGTGTTTGAGTCTGCTGCAGAGTTCCTGCTGTTCCTCGACGACGACGTGGTGCCGTCACGTGACATTGTTGCTGCCTATGCTGCCGCGGTGCGCCGGAACCCGAACGGCAACGGGTTTGCGGGGCCAACCTTCTTTCCGCCCATGAACACGGCGCGTACCCTCGGTGCGAGGCTGGCTGGTGTCACCCACTTCTGGGACCGTGCTGCAAAGGAGGATGTGATGCCCTGGGCTGTGACGGCCAACGTGCTGCTTCGACGCACGGAAGACCTCGTCTTTGACACCCGCTTCCCACGGACTGGCGGTGCGTGTGTGTGATGTGTGTGTGTGTGTGTGTGAATGAGTGTGTGTGTGTGAATGAGTGTGTGTGTGATTGACTGTGTGTGTGTGTGAATGATTGTGTGTGTGTGTGTGATTGTGTGTGTGCGTATGAGTGTGTGTGTCAGTGTGTGTATCAGTGATTGTAGTGTGTTGGATATCATAACCTTGGCTGCATTGCCACATCACATGAACTGCGTCCCTGCGTGAACTTGACCATCTCATTCATGATTGCATACCAACTTGCCCACTGACTGCATCTCGCCCACAGGCGGCGAGGACATCGACGTGTGCTTGAAGGTGGCCGATGGACGCCTCATTTCCGTGCCGGACGCCACCGCCGTCCATCCTTGGTGGAACAACGGAGCACCTCATCTCTCTCGCTTCTGGGGCTGGGCCAAAGGCGATGGGGCCCTGGTGCACATGTTCCCACAGCACACGTACCTCAACCTGCCCAACGCAAGCGAGGCCATCGTGCTGCTGCTCTTCTTTGCGTGCTGTGCGCACGTGGCGAGCGCCATCTTCAACGCCGTTCCCAGTTTCGGCAACACCGCCCACGATGACAGCAGCGGCATTGACGTCTTACGTGACAGCGCGCAGTGGCTTGCTTCCAGCATGTTCACGCTGCACCACGTGCTTGCGGTGCTGATCTCCATCTTCGCTGGTGAGCTGCTCGCTGAGGGCCTTACGCACCTACTCATCGAACCAGACGAGTACAAGCAGGAGGGCACCAGCTTCCTGGGCCGGGTGGCTGCGGTGCCGCATGCACTGTGCGTGCGCTTTGCGTCGGAGGCTGGCCGTGTGTACGGTCATTTCCTCTATGGGCGCTTCAACGCCGTCTGCCTTCGCTTTGACTGGTTTATTGGGCTTCTTCCAACGCTCATGGCACACGAGCGCAAGGTTGCCTTCTTCCGCGCCACGTGCTGGTGCGCTGTCGCTTTCATCATTCTGCACCTCCTTCCATGACATTCGCACGGCGAGTGTGTGTGTGCGTGTGTGTGTGTGTGTGTGTGTGTGTGTGTGAGTGTGTATGTGTGTGTGTGTGTGTGACTGCTTGTGAGAGTGTGTATGTCAGTGTTGGCATGTTTGTTCGGGCCATGCGTTTGCTTGTTACGTACAAGCCTGTGCTCGTGAGCGTGTGTGCTTGTTTCGGGTCGCGTTTCCTCGTGTGTTGTGATGATGTCCCTTCGGTGGTGAGCTTGTGTGATTTTCTCTGTTGCGTGTGTGGTCTGTCTCCGGACTGCCTGTGAACTGCATCATGAGCTGTTGCGTTGTACTTGTTCCTTCACACCAAAGAATACAACACCCAACGAAACTGCATGCACGCACGCAGTGGCACGGAAAACAGTGGACAGAGCACACACACACACACAGACACACACAGACACACACACACACACAGCCGCTATGAAATGCGTGTTTCCCCCGCGCGCAATTCCGCCTGCATGTGTTGAGGGGACTTGGCATGAAAGACGACGTCTGGCCATCTCAGATATCGCTGCTCGTGCTGATGATGGCGGCACGAGGACACGTGCAGCTCACCAACTTGAGGTAGCGATGCAATGTTATCAAAGTGGCACCGGGTCAGCCTCAGGTCCTGCACACCTGCAAACCCAGCAAAGTCTTGCACGATACAGGAGGTGCAGTAGCACGCGTGGACGTTGTGCAGTGCAATGTCGTGGTCGGTCAGCTGCACGTCGCTCAACACCACCTTGTGCACGTTTTCTGCTTGAATACCAAGCTGTGAACAACTGCTCACCCAGAACAGCTGGCTGTTGCAAACGCGAATGTTACCGCGGCATTTTGTCACCCTCACTTGTGCGCATCCAACGATTGCTGCTTTTGCTAAGTTACATGCTGTAATGCTGATGTTGGTGACAGAGCGCAGGCTGTCGAGACCCCGAATCACAGGGACCACCGCCTTCGCATACCGCATGTCCGCGCGGCTCTTTAAGCTGATGACAGGCACATCTCGCAGCGGCTGCACGTCCAAGTCAGCCGTCACGTGCACGTGCACCTCCTGCACGCACGAAGGAGGAGAGGGGCGCCGGATAACGCGCGAGTCTAGGTCGAACACGTGCACTTGCACGTCGTCCGGTACCACATGCAAGGAAGAAAAACAGCTTGCAGCTTCTCCGTGCAAGCACAGCTTGCGCGCGCACGCACCCAGCTGCTGCAGGTTGTGCTCCGCCACATGTGATTCCACGTCAACCTCCACGGCGCTGGCGATGTGGGGAAGAGCGCTCAGCCGTGGGCAGGACAGTACCCGAAGCAGTTGGAAGCAGTCATTCTCGCATTCTAGCTTGGTCAAGCTTGAGCAGCGTAAAACCTTGAGTGTGGCAGCACTGTGGACGCGAATGCGCTCAAGCTTCGTGCATCCCGCGATCGACAGCGTGTCCACATGGGCAAGTGGGCAGGAAATGTCCTTTGCAGCATAACAGGCGTCCAGCTGAATGATGTGCGCAGAGGCCAAGTTTGGGAGGTGGAGTGTATGGAGGCTGTAACAGTTGGTGATGTGCAGCTGGCCAACCTGTGTCACACCTTCTGGCACGTGGGGAAACTCATCACAGCGGTCGATGTAGACGCTGTCCATGTACACAACGTTCGGAGCGTTCACGCCGCGAAAGAACTCGCACTCTTCCACTGAAAGGTGCCCAAAGTGGGTACCATTGAACGTTATCTCGCGGAAACAGTAGCACTGGATTGCGCCCACATCTGGGTACGGGGCATTTCCGTCGTGGTGGTATCGCTGGCGGTGCTGGCCGGTCGCGCTGTCAATGTCACTGTATTCGTTGTGCGGCTCCACCAGGTTTAGGGTGAGTGAGGACACGCTGTTGCAATATGCCAGCCAGATGCTGCCAAGGTGCCGCAGCGGGGGCAGAGTGATGGTTTCAAGGCTGCTGCAGTGCTCTGCCGCAATGCTGTTGATGTGGGGACTACCGCACACAACGGCGTCGATTCCACTGCACTCCCACACGGAGATGGAGGTGGCGTTGGGCACACGCAGTGTTCCTCGAACGTTGACAGTCGCCAAGCGAATGTCCGTGCCGTTGAGGGTGATGTTGTTGACGCTCACGTCGTAACAACGCGTGACGGCCAGCCGGGGTACGTCGCGCAGAGCCGTGATGTCGGACACACGCGTATGCTCCAAGCGCACCTCCTGCACGTGCGCGAGGGCCGATGCGTCTCTGAGACTGCTAACGTCGATGACGTGCACTGTAGGCACAGAGGCCAGCGCGCTTACGTCCAGCGATCGGCCGAGGGCATCGGCTGTTCTGGCTCGTACGTCGCCCATGTGGGCACCTGTGAGGGTGACGCTTGTCAGGCCTTGCAGGTCACCGGCGATCCGCAGCTGATCTGGCGCAATGGTCCAGCGCAGCTTGCGAACATGTTTGAGGGCGACATGCTGCACAGGCTCGTCGGTGTGGAGACACACTTCCTCAGTGTTGTCGAGAGACAAGCGCTCAAGGGAACACTGAGATTTCACGCGGATTGTGTCTGCAGCCACAGTGCCCAGCATGGAACGCAGGTGAGCCAACTCTGCGGCTTCCGCCTCACTTTCCAGGACAGCATGCAACACAAAACCAGCTGGCAGCAACACCGAGCTGCTAGCGTAAGCGCTGGACATTGCCCTGGCTTTCTTGCCTCGGTGGCCGCTGGAGCTTCCATCGATGCCGTCGTCATCATCGCCGTCATCATCATCATCATCATCATCGTCGTCGTCGTCGTCGTCGTCGTCGTCGTCGTGATCGTCTGTGAGAGGGTGGATGGTGTCAAGGGTGAAGGGATCGGCGGAGCTGTGGTTGTTCTGCTGCTGGTCACTGTGGTCGTTGTTGTGGTCGTCTTGGCTCTCATCCCTGTCGCCATCGCCTTCATCATGGGCAGGTGCTGGGCTGATCCAAGCGCGAAGATCGTTCAATGAGTCAAAATGCACGCGACCGCATGTTGCGAAAGCTGTGCGAAATGAGCAAGCAGCACCGTTGCGTGGACAGTGCATCGTGCGGAGCAGCTGTATCTTGCTGTCCCACAGCACACCGAGCCAAGCGTGCACGAGAAGCCGCTGCTGTGCCCACACTTCCAAGTTGTGTGGAGTGCTGCGCGATGGCGCGCTTTCCGTTCTGTTGACAAGATCAGTGGAGGATG